TTTGCCTTATCCATATAGCAACTGTTTCTACTGTAATTCTGCTCATTATTTTTCCTTGAAAGACGTTTTTCTAAACTTTCCAATTGCTCTCAAGTTATATTTTAGGTAGTTCTCACAGCAACATATTCTTTATAGATTTAAATTAATTTGCTTTGCTGAGAGGAGATGAGGAGGGACGTATCTGACCACACTCTCTTTGGACTTCTATACATTGTCTAAATCCCTCAGCAGAGTATCTGACAGCAATTCCCTTTGGAGAATCTCCCACCTCCACTTCTGCTCCTCAGAGTCAGGTTTCTTGTCTCTTCGAAAATCAAGTAGATCAATCCCATCTCAAGGCTAACGATAAAGTAAATCAGCTTGGAGGTCTATTTATTGCTCATCAGAGCACCAGCTTGGGAAGAGCAGGTGAAAAATTTTCCTTTCAGCTGCATGGCTGGTTTACTGCTTGTCCTGAGATTCTCCTGTCACCCACTCTTCTGCTATGGGAAACAATGATCAGCAGTAACATGCTTTGGATCCGGTATAGAACAAGAGCCAGGTTTTCAAATTCCTCAAGCTTTTAAAAAAGAAAAAAGGCAATTTGGAATTAAGCAGAATTTCCACCAGAATAATTTGTTCTGTGAAAAAAACAGAAACAACAACAACAAAAATTCATCAGTATGCACTGTCTGTTGGAAAACATCAATTTTCAACAATTTCCTGTTTAAAAATTCAGGGAAAAGCTTCTAGAAAGTCAAAGCAATTTTTTTTTCAGTCAGCATTTAAGGCAAGATAGATAAAAAAAAAATCACCAACAAGATGTTAAGTGTTTTGCTAGTGTCACTGCGTTAAGTGAAATCAGTATCATAGGGCTTAAAGACACTACAGTATAATTTCAGTGAAGTTCTTTGTTAGTATTATTAGTGCTAGTGTATTATATTACTACTACCAGCAGTTTTATGTTAGTATTAGTATTGATTTCAAAAGATATTTTGCTTCTTTCCTAAAAGTTTACACCTCACCCATTAGTTAGGATTCACAACATTGCAGGACCCACAGCAGGCCATCAAGCTGAACAGCTGTGATTGAGGTACAAGTGTGAAAGCTGTTAGAAGTGATTAAAAGTACCCGTGAAAGAGAGTGGAAAAGAACTGGCCAATGTGCTGTTTATCATCTTGCTCACTTCCTAAATTCTAGAAATATGATCATCTTAGTGGTCCAAACTTTTGGGGTGGATTAACATTTTATAACCGCCTTCTTTTGGTACTAAAATATACAGAAACTTTAAACTTTTTAACAAGACCTAATCAGGAATTTTTTTAAGAGAAACATTATACAGACACAATTGCAAAAATGAGAAGTGGAAGTCTGTCTTTATTTCCAACATCTGCTTCCCTGTCTGCTCATTGTTTATCTATCTACCATGTGGAGCCCTGAAGATATTGAGCCATCCATCAAGCAGAGAGTAAACCAAGAGGAGATATATCATAACTTAATGTTAAAGAAATCATATGCTGTGACATCTACCTTCATTACTGCTAGTACCTCTCACCTCATAAGTAAAACCATGGCAGAATGGGTCTGTTATCTGCTTTTAAAAGGGTTTGGGTGTGTATACATAAATCCAAAGGTTCTCTTCTTGCCATTAATGCTGGCCCATCTGCTTTGCAGAGTATATCTGAAAGGGCAGAAATGGATGTAGAATCTTTCCCCCCATTCCAATACATATAAGGGAAAGCCAAGTTTGTTCCTACTGTACTTCTGCTATAATTGAATGTATTTTAACAGTCAATGAGCTTTTCTCAATGAGTTAACCATCCTTTCAGAAAAATAAGATGAATAGCTGCTTATTTTAATCTGGCAGCACTTTGAGCAAATACAGCATTTTTTCTGTCTCATATAGCTCAAGGCTAAAACCAAAAGAGTCAGAAAACTCTTCCCCTTCCCAACCCCTTTCAAAATGAAAGTCAAGGTTTTGCGGGATTCAGCACAATCCATGGGATTTATGTTGCACCTGTTGAATTCTCACAAGAAATATCAATTAAAACATTGTGACTTTGGAAGGAGCATAGGAAATCTATGGGGAGACTCGAGCTCCATGGATTTTCTGCACCTGCAGCTGTCCCGCCTCGGTGCCTCTCCCAGTAAGGGGGGCTATCGGGCCAGTGCCACGCACTGCTCCATTTCCATCACTGCAGGGGGAGAAGCCCATTTCCCTGAGCTGCGCCTTGCTTGCTCTCTCTTGTTTGAGTTGGCACCTGCTGACCGTATCTGGACGATGAAGCCTTCCAGGCATAGCACTGGAGCATTTGGTCACACAGATCTGGGACACTGTGCGGTGGATGCAGCCAGCACTTCTGTTGAGCATCAGGGCTGCAAGAGAGGAACAGAAGGCTGAGACATTATAGTTCAAAACAAAAAAATCAAACCTATTATCATTTTTAACAGCTTGAGTGGCAGTGAGTTCGTAAGCCTTTGTCCCTGGCTCATTTTAGTGGGATTTATCAGGAGAATGGTTGGTTTTGCATTACTGCTGGTTATTGCTGTTGCAGTTCACTAGTGAGATGGCCCTGGCAGTGCAGGAGCATAGAACACATGGGCTCTTTCAGAAGAAAGCATGTGTCCAGCAAATATCTACATATGTTCCTAGATGTTGATCTAATTTAGACTCTATTAGGATATCCTTATCACATCTTCTTTCCTTCTCCTTCTCCTTCTCCTTCTCCTTCTCCTTCTCCTTCTCCTTCTCCTTCTCCTTCTCCTTCTCCTTCTCCTTCTCCTTCTCCTTCTCCTTCTCCTTCTCCTGTCTTCAAGAAATTTATTATTGCTGCCCCAGCACGAAAATGCTGAGGGCTGTTTTGCTGCTGCATACTGTCCATGGGCACAAGCACCATGGGTGTTGAGGCAGAGAAATACATGGACACTGGATATTATTGGAGCTTAATGAGAAAGGCAATTGAGAAAGTTTCCTGAGCAATTGCAGATGCACAGTAAACTATCAGATGCATTGTGGATAACAAGCAGAGATTTTCTGAGGTGCAGTTTTGAATGTATATGAATGAATTCTGCTATTTAAGTGTCAAATGCTTTGGCTGCATCTTGAACCTAAGAACAGCTGTGCTGGTTTGCATCACTGCACCCTAAACTTATATTCTGTCTCCCAAAACAGCAGGTGATACACCCAGTGCTTTCCTCCAGGCTGATCCCCAACATTTGGGGTGTGCTCACACTGCAACAACCCCCAGCCAGGCCACTGGTCTGCCTGAATTGTGACAAGGGGAGCCACATTCCTGGCATCCCCCAGAGAAAAGGGAAACTGGCCACAAGGGTATGCCTGTTGGTGAATGAGAAAAGGCAAGTAAGTCATCAGAGCCTCTGGCTATTCTCAGGAGGGATATTTTCTGTGCCTCTGATATGTTTTGTTTTGTTTTGTCTGTTTGTTTACTTTGTTTAATAACCCACAGTTACTCTTCAAGTGCTTATCCACTCTCCCTTTTAACCCACCTAAAATTGTTGGAGCCACAATGCCTTTGGCAACAGTCTTTGCATACTTATTGCTTGAAGAATCACTTCTCCTTTGTTTTCAGCCCGGCTTCTTTGTGGCCCATTATTCTTGTAATGGAAGCAGCAAGTGAGTTGCTTCTCCATGAAGCTATGACTTTGCAGGTCTCTACCATATTACCCCTGTTCTGGGCTGGAGAACCCAGGACAACATAGTCATGGAAGACATTTAATACTTTTGATCATCCCTGCTGCTCTTCTTTGAGCTTTGACATCCTGAGGAGACCAGAAGATCAGACAGGATTCAAGGAGAAGGTGAACCCTGGATTTAAAGACATTCACTGTAAAAAGAGCCCTTAAGGAGCTCCTTTCTAGCCTCCTCCCCTTCTCTACTGCAGGATACTGCCTTCACAGAGCACCATCCCTCTTCCTGAAAGCATAGAGTCCATGCAGACCAGTTACAAAATGCCAAACATCTGACTTAACACGGGCAGCTTAGCAGTGGTGTGGCAGAGATGACCCACGTGGCCCATTCTGCTGGCTTGGGGCTCTGCAGCCAAAGGCTGAGTTCAGCAGCTGAGCCTATAAACCAGCTGGGCACTGCAGCACTGCCACCAGCATGGCTCCTCCTGTGGCCAACATTTGACTGGACTTCAGCGTATGTTCCTAGGATACAAAAATATTTTCACTGTCCTACGTGTCATTTCAGAGGAGAAATTTTGCCCTCAGAACCGACCTTTTTATGTAGCACCAACTAAATACACATTTTCACCTAAGTGGAGATACTTCGTTAGAAATAAATGTGCTTGTAAGCATTTGGAAGTGTAAAGGTGATATTTATAAAGTGACCAGAACACCCACCATGCACTGTATAAGCCAGTGAAAATAACAGCTGCTGAGTTTTATCAGCTTTAGAGCACCACAGGAGCAGCACAGAGAGTGGTTCAACTGTGATGTGTCAGTGCTGAGCACAGCTGACTGATGTGCTGCTGTAGCTAAAGACAGGGTAATCATATAGAGACTGTAAGTATGATGATAAAACGAGTCACAGTGTTATGGTTTTTCAAATGTTTTCTCCTAATCTCCACATCTGTAGTGTGTTTATGAGAGTAAAAGCAGTGAAAATTCCTGCAGGTCAAAATAACTTTATTCTTAAGAGTATACCTAGGGTGTTGTCTTCCCTGCATCCCAGTGGTAAACATGTTGATGTTGGAGTAGAGGAAGGGCTGGTATTTTTCCTGGATGAATGAAGTACAGCTTTATCATTCTGCATTAACTCTTTGGGGTGCTGTGTATACATTTTTAAGCTAGTATGTTGTGTTCTGATTATTTCATTTTATTTCTGAAACCACTAAGAACCTTATGTAAAATTGGGGGGGGGGAAGGGGTGCTGAGGGGCAGTAGGGGGCAGGGGGGGGGGGGGGGGGGAAGAGAGTGGGAATCTGATAAGAACTGAAGAAAATATAATTAATTACCTGAAATGACAGTTTTGTTCTTGAAAGAGCTGCCACCATACAATAACTTCATTAATATTTTATTTATTTTCTAGGACCTTGAAATACAATTCGCCTTTCCTTGAGGGCATTTTCAGACAATTTAATTTAGCCTGCATTTCAATGAAAGCACAAGCCTGTACAAAATGGCATGGGTGCTGGAAGACATAGTCCCACCTATCCCCAGTATTGCTTTGCCCACTTCTGCACTGCCTCATCCATCACATCTGTACACTGAACTGGAGTAAGATGATGATCTAGGCTTAAATTTACCCAGAAAAAAAAAAAAAAAAAAAAAAAAAAAAAGTCTCCAGATGGATTTTTTCCCCATGGAAGCTTGTTTTTGCAGATATACAGCTGCTGTGCTTGCACAGAGGAGGGATGCTGAGGCAGGCACAAGCGGTAGGAGATGGGGCATCATTTTTCTTAGCAATACACATGCCAATTTATAATGTTCATCAGAGTGTTGCCACAACTAACCAAACAGTAGCAGTATTTATTTTTGCCAGGAACAAATGGAAATATTTATTTAAAATCATGAATAAATATAGTCCTGTATCTTTAGAAGCAGGGATATAAGAACGGTATAAGTTCCAGAAATCTAAATACACATTTTGTGGCATGAAGGAGTTGCTACAGGCTTAGTCTCACCTGGGCTATAGCTACAGCTTGCAGATGTGCTGAAGGATGGTTCATGTGTTAAAAGTAAGTGACTCATAATTGGATCTTCTGGGAAACATTATGGGTTACCTAAGTTCAGAAAGGAGTTCAGAGGGAGGAAACCAAGCTTAAAAGAGCTGCGAGACTCAATCTTGTGCTGCATGCAGGATATCAGGTGGCAGGAGTAGGAACTGGCTCTGACCAGAGTGGCTGGAAATGAGCCTGTCTTGGTAGGGGCAGATCTGCAAGGCTCCCAGCAAGGACGTGAGCTGGCGAGGAAGATGGGAGAGTCCCTGGATAATTTTGAACTTTTCATTAATGAACCTGGCTTCCAGGCGGAACGTTCTTGGGAAAACAGGAAAGGAAAGAGGTTGAAGTGGAGCCAAAATTTAGACTGGGTGAACAGCAGGATTCATAAATCTGTGTACAGTTTTTACCCACTCTTGCAGAACCCGTCATGAAAGAAAGTGAAAATTTTGTGTTTGAAAATCTACACAACAATGTGTGAGCTGTTTACATGGGTGCATGCTCAGCTGAGTGTCTGAACGAGAGACTGAATGTTGGTTCAAGAGTTACTGGCTGCAGACAGCTGTTTACACTGAAGGAGAAAAATGGCATACAAATGTCCTAGCATTGAAGAAAAGGTCAGGTCAGATGGATAAGAATCATGTTCATCCAACAAAAGAGGCTGAGACAGGCCTTCAGAGTAAGATGTGGTAGCAACAAATAAGACCACTAATAAATCTGTTTTCAGTATTGTGCCCCTGCTTGCTGTTTATGCATGTGGGCTGGGTAAATGGCCTACTGAGTACATATGTAGCAGCAGATCCCTGCTTTTAGCTGGATGATGTTAACAAACACCAGCCTGTGTTTTCCATTTTGTCAATAGAGAGACAAGCAACTTCACAGGGTGGCATGCTTCATAGTAAAACTGACACAAAGCTCCCTATGAATGATGTTGCTAGATGAACTGCTTAGGCCAGGCACTTCTTTTCTAGATGGCTGAGGCCAGGTGGGTGAAGCTACTTTTCAAAATACAAAATATTTTCAAAATTCAAAATACAAAACTGATGTCCAAGAAGCGGAATGTAATTTGAAGTCACTAATACTGATCTATAAATATTTTTCCATCTTTCCAAAATTATTTATTCCTGGATCCACACATCTTCCACATTTATGATGGCAGCTCCCACTAGATTTGACCAAGAGGTATTGTTTTGCCATTGACACTCCCATGATACATGAGTTCATCGGAGTCCGCTGTTTGAATCAAGCATATGAGGGGCCAATTCATTGAGCACAATTTATTCCAGATCTTTGCAGAAATATACGATGCTCTTGAGTCTGTACAGATGTCTAGCCAATAGGGAGCTGTCTGGCTACACAAGTTTTTTATATATTTTTCAACTAAATCAGAAATCCAAATGCAAAAGTCAGCACTTGGGGATGTCTACATGGATTTGTGACTCTCCTGCCTGAATTCTGAGGTTATAAACCAACGAAGGGATTAAACTCATATGTACATTTTTCTTCTTTATGTGACAGACCTAAGATGAATAATATTGTTCATTTACAGAATCATAGAACATTTAAATGGGAAAGGCTTCTTCAAATTGTTGAAGTAAAATCCTGGCCCAATTGAAGGTGGCTTCAGGCTGGTTTTGATGGTATTCGGTGTCACCATTCTTCACAGGTGGATATCTCTTCTGCTCATTCTGATAGCTTGCCAAGTGCATTTTATAGGGCCTGGTTCACTCCTGTCTGAAAAAACACAGAAGCAGAACATATAATGGCAGTCCTGAGGCATCTACCAACACAAAGTAAAGGTATTTAATACAACCGTTAATGTAACTCATTTTATTCTGTCCTTTCAGAAAGCCATGTGTGAAAGAAATGCAGTCTGGAAGAGGAAAGAAAAATGAAGTTGTTAGTAGCTAGTGCACACATGGTGTCTGTTTGAGCCCACAGAAATGGGTTCAGTGAAGACAGCCTGTGTATACAGACATTCACCTCCTAAATCCCAGCACACCCATCTCTCTGACCCCAGTGCTTCCCTCCTGAGAACTGAAAACCGAAACCACCAACAGCTCATCAGATGCTAAGCCAAATGCACGTGGGCTGTGTCACACCTGCTGCAGATCCCTCCTCCCAGAAGCAGGGAGGTGGCAGATCCTCACTGGGCACATCCTCGTGAAGTGGGAACTTTAACAGTGAGGATGTGACTGCAGACCTGACCTTCTGGACCAGCAAGATCCTGATAGATGGCTGACTATCCTTGGGATCACAGCTTCAGGCAGAGGGAAATGCTGAATTACTATCCCATTCCATCCTTATTCCTGCTACTGGCAATTTTCTGTGAGCTGGGAGGGCAGCACAGCACATTCAGCAAGTAGTGTTCTTCCTATCCATGCACAAACAGTACAGTTCACACTCAGCAGTGATGTGGAACATTTGGCCCAATGTGATGTCCTTCTTGCCTGCGAATGTGAATTGCTGGCAGCAGACACAAGCTGAACAATTCCATCTCTTGAATATTTGCTAAGGAAAGGAGGACAACAACTGAGCTCCAGTTCTGGACCCTTGGTTAAACTTGGCTTGTTCTCTCTCTAGCTCTATGATGGCCCTTCTCTACAAGACAGTGCCCAAGCATAGTTTTGAACAAACCTATGCTAGCTTTGCTTGTCTCCTTGCACTATTTACTAATGGTATTCCAGCAGGCTTTGCACCCCCAAACACCTCTACATGCTTGTACTACCTAGTTCAGGACATAAAACATGGATCTCAACGTCTTGTTGTAAAGCATAACTCTGGTGGGATACAGCCTTGGCTTTGCAGCATTTCAGAAACTTTGTGAAGAAAAGGTTACAAAGAACAATAACGACACCCGAGGGCAAGGAGTATAACCTGAGGCTTATTCAAGCCATGGTGGTATGACTGCAATTTGCTTGGGAGAAGGCTCCTGTCATGCAGTGAAGATGAAAGTCAAATGGTATCTACTAAATGGACAGTTAGACCCTGTGCTGGATCCGCATTGACGGATACTGGAAAAGACAGCATCTGTTCCATCTATCAGGTTATGCCTTGGCATTCCTTTCACCCGGGTGATGCTGGTGACCAGAGCATAGGGCCATGGAAATTGACCATCCCATGATGGAGAAGCTCTGGAAGAGTCCCTGAGCTCCAGGGTCCCACCACTGCCTAATCAGAAGAAAGAAGGCTGAATCTTGTACAAATGGCTGGAAGAATCCAGGATGAGAGGCATAAATAGTGCCAGCTTGGGAGAAAAGCCTTATACTTGCAGTTAGTTTTTCAGTGTAGGAAGAAGTGATGACAACCTACTTGCTTCCCTCCAAATCCGTCTGTCATCCAGTCCTGGGAGAGGACTGCGATCTCTACATGGGGCACACTATATTTTAAATCCAATTATAATATGGCTCAGCCTCTTTCCTATAGCTTATTCTGAAGCATGAACACAATTAGACAGCAACTGCGTTTAACAGCCATAACCATAAACTTGATGGTTTGCATAATTTAGATGGGAGTTTCCTTAGAGATTTACTGTAAATGCTGAAGTTCAGGCTTTTCTATTTTCCCCTTTCTCTTTTTTTTCAAAGGCAAAAAGAAAGCTCTGCAGCAATTTTGTAAAAGGTGTAAAAATAAAGGTAATTTCTCTAGAAAGAGAAGACCGTGTGTTGCACGATCTTATCTTTCAAACATCGTTGTGGGTGGTTATTATGCAGCTTTGAAATAAGAGCCTGCAGCCTACAGGATTTGGCTTATATCTCTGGAAGTCCACATACAACTTCCCCCACATCCAGTGTTACCTGCTTTCACATTGCATTTTTCAGTAAAATGCATGACTTTGTGTGCAATTTGTAGCATGCCTCACCACACAGTCCCTCAAGTGGAAAACAGAAAGTCTCCATTACTGACAGCTTCCTGGTGCTTGCTGTAGGCGACTTGGTTTTTAATGTCATTATAAATGGACATCCCATTACCATGTTAGGAAAATTAACACAAGCTTAATAATCTTTTTGCTGTAATGTAATAATCTTTTTAATGTAATGTGTTTTGTGCATGTAACTATTTAAAAAACATAATTCAGCTAAATAGCTACAGTTAGTGCATGTCCCTCACCAAACAGTACAGTGTTTTCCTTAATGCTGAAATTTAGACAAAACATAATGACTTCTTATTACAGCATTATGCCTAAAAAGGATCAAGCTCTATTAGTAGTAACAGAGTTGTACAACACCTACGTCTGTTCTGGTCCTGTTAATATGGGCAAGATATTATCATTTTCTTAAATAGTTGGAGGAAGTGGTTAGTTTTCCTATGCAGATCTTCATTCACACGTTTGAAGTTGTAATTGGCTATTGGACCTTTCACAATGAATCCTCTGTATCTTCACTCACCTGAACGCCCTGTGGTCAAACTGAAAGTTAGCTGGAAGAAGTAAAAAGTCCCAGGCTGTACTTTTCTACTTTCCATTACAGGAAGAAAAAGAAAAGGAAAAAAAAAAAAAAAAGTCAGTCTCTGGCAGGCTTCATTTGAACCATTGCAAATTTTACTTACCTATAGATTCATACCATGTGGTGGGTTATTTAGAGTTTATATTAAGGATGGTTGTACTTACTCAATGCAAGAACATTTGTAAAAAAGACATGCACTGGATACAATATCCAGTCTATCTCTTCCCAAGCAGAAAAAACTTGCTGAAATCTTCCCCACAGCCCTCCCCAAAGAACTGGGACCCTGTCCAGGTATCTGTATACTTTTGCTCTGAATTTTCCATCCAGAGCTCGTGAAATGTATGTAAAGTTAATTCTGTAGATCGTTCACATGGCAGAGCCTAAGCTAGTTGCACAGGGCTCCCAAACCAGATCAGGCAGTTAGTGAAGCAGGTAAATGGGAAACCAGGCAGACTGCTGCAGCGCAACAGCCAGATGCACACCACATTCATCTCACTTCACCTTTGCCTTCCACAGAGCGTGCCCCAGTGAATGAGTTCCAGTTCCGGGCCTCAGAGAGGTTGTAAAGGGATGGCTGGGTCAGCTGCACTCTCCAAGGACAGTGGGATGCTGCAAAGCATCCAAAGACATCCACACAGAGCTGACGGATGAGCAGAGCAGTGCCTGTGTGGGACAGCAACTGGAAACCAGGAGAGATACAGCCTCACATCTCAGACAGCACAGCATGGCTGCACTTTGGCAATGTTGTCTTAAAGAACTAATAATTAAATGTTCTGTGTGAGTTTAAAAAATCTCTCAAACTAACTAACTAAAAGCCCTCAAATTAAATATTTCCTTACAATTTCCCCAAAACAGTGATTTCCAGTGGAAAAATGTTAGTTTTGTAGAGAGTCCCTTTCTTGTGCGGAAGATCATTCCCAACAGAAAATTCCTAGCAATCTCTAGGCTTAGAAAGAGGCATTTTGTGGTTTTTTTTCTTTTTGTTATTTTGTTGGGTCTTTTTTTTTCTTCAGTATCTAAGCCTCTGAAAAGTACAGGCTGGAGCTAGCATGGCTTTTTGTAGCACTTCATACTGGCTCATTTGTCTCATTGTTTATGTAGATAGGGGGCTGCTAAGAAGTCTTTTCTGGAACTTACCATCTCAGATGAGTGGGATACTTTTTACTCCATTTTGAAATCAGAGCAAAGGGTTCTTTTTTGCTCTCTTTTCAGTTCTTATCATCATGCCAAAAGCTGTCTTGAATTATGCAGCTTTTGTAAAACTCCTTGAAATGTGTTTATATAAGAAGAAACCGTAAAAATTGAAGTGAAAGGACCGAATCCTGCACTGCACTTGCCCTCCATTGACAAGGTACTTGTCAAAGGCTGAATGGCAGCACGTTAATAAGAGCAGAACAGTGATTAAATTACTCTTGAGAAGGGCTGAGGCACCGCTGGCAAGGAATACATCTTCCAACTATTCTGCCCTATAAATCCCATATGTGATGGTCGAGTGACATTTCATTCAGGACAATGACACAAAGACTCCTGACACAAATGGCACAAAGCTACTCCTGTAGCTCACAAGCATTTTTGCAGCAGTAATACCTGAGAAATTTGTAGTCTGGTAAACAAAACATCTAGGATCTCCCCAGAGAGGACATATATTATAATTGCTCCAGAATTAAAATTTATCTTTTATAGCATCAGGGCCAGATCCACAATTTATGGAAGCAGACATGCATGTGGAGAGACTTATCCCACAGAAGGGACTGGGTCTGCAACTTGAGCCATTTCAGATATTCTTAACAAAGAGAGTTCTCACTTTAAGCTTCTCTGCATGAACTCATATATGAAACTTATAATATTGTTTTTTGATAAACAATTTAATATTGCATGAGAAGTAATCAGGTAATACTTTGAGGAGTGGGCTTTTAGTCATATCTGACATTCTGTTTATTCTGAAGAAACTAGGAAGTCATCTTTACTGGAGGTACTGTACATGAAACCATAAATGCGCAACAGCAGAGTTTGCATGGCTGGGAAAGCCCCAAAAATACATATACAGCTCTGCTTGGCTGCTCCTGGCCAGCCTGGCCTCCCCTCTCACCCTAAGCCAGTGTGTAAAGACTATAAGTGACTTCAACTGGGAAGGGAGAGCAGAACCAAAGAAGGCTGTGTGACTTCCCTGCCTTCCACATATCTCATCCCTATTGCAGACCTGCAGGACCACACCAGGGCAGAACTTGCACCCTCTGGTGTCTTCCTTTGTGCAGCAACAAAAAGCTTCGTCACTTCTTGCTGCTTCAGAAACAGAGGAGAAAACTTGGTCTCATGAACATGGCTGTTCCCGATTTCTAAGATAGACACAATGCAACATTTGCAAAGAGTGTTCCTTCCTCTGGCCATCCAAGCATGTTGTCTGAGGGAATGTTTATATTTGGATACGTGAGATCAAAGAATTGGGCAAACAAAGGCTTCAACAGAAAAAAAATAAATAGGAGACACTTGCAAGAGCTGAACACAGTTGAAAACACAATGAATACGAAGATAAATATAGGTTCCTGTGCAGCTGTATACACCAAGGAAGAGACCAGCTATGGATGCAATAGTTAAGCACAAAGGCAGAGTGCTGCAGACTACAAAGCATTTGCAAACCCATGCTCATCAGAGAGGGGTCTGCACAGGGCACTGCAAAATCTCTGCACTGAGAGTCTCAGCCAGCACACAGAAAGAACAGCACAAGTTCCCACTGTGCTCTGGAAAGACGTCAAGCAAGTCCAAAGGAACGCAGGCTGCCAAGCCCAATGTGCAAGCTGAGGGCAAGAGCTAGCAGCTTGGGAACACTGAGCAGTACCAAGATGGCATGTGGAAGGGGATGAGCAACAAGCATTTGCATGCTGGCTCTTCCCCTGGTACCTTACTCAGTGCAAAGATGCAATGCAATTAAACATAAAATCACTTAGGAGAAGAATCCCTCCCAAACTCCTACACAGACTGCACCATACTTCAACTACCTCTGAAGTTACACTACTGTGTTCATTCTGAAAACTAGCATAGCAATTTTATTCTATTTTTTTAAATTCTACTTTAATCTAGCATTAGATTAGAAAGAGAGAGAAAAAAATGCCTGAATTCATGCACTCCCAAGCTCATACAGGACAGAAATAAACAATGTTTACCAGAACTCCTGTTGCAGACTGCAGTAGCTGTGTTCACAGAGCAAAGCAAAGGAAATGAAGGAACTGAGAGCACACAGGTTTGCTGAGAAATAATTGCCCAAGATAATGCACAGCACAGCAAATAAGGAATGTTGAACTGAGATATACACAAAAAATAAGATGGGCAGGAAACGGAGGAATGGACATATTGCAGGTATTGTGTTTCCCAGTGCAGGACCCCTTACAGGTCACGCACCCAGGGGCTATGTGCTCTTCAAGAATCTGCCTTGACACTGATGGTTCTTATCTACGTGCTGCTGGGAAGTCTGGTGGTTCTGGTTTGCAGTTCATAAAAGCAGGAATGCTGAGAGCAACATTTTATTTGTAACCTATCGTGTTCCTGTTTTCCCACTGAAAAAGCCTAAGTCATTTTAGTGAGGGAAATTGCAATGTTGAATCTTCTTTGTGCACTTTCACTATCTTTTCTTATTGTTTCTTTCAAACATCTTCTGTTACATGAAGTACTGTGAAAAATATCAAGATAATTAAATATAACAAATGTTATGAAATGATCAGATAGTAAATACGATGAACATACAGCTAAGCATTGGTTAAATTGTACTGAAGGCCTGGAAAATATATGAGAGAAGCTTAAATTCTGATTATTTCAGTCTGAGTTTAGCTAGTCTGCTCTACAGATTCACTGAGTCCAGGTTTATACAGCACAACCACCTAATCATGCCCTTTGAAACGTGATGGGTATGGGATAACTGCTTCCCTAGTAATGATGGGTGATGAACACTGTTCTTTAACACAGTGTTCACTGTGCTCAAAACACTTTTATTTTTTATTTATTTACTTTTTTCTGATGCCTCTTGACTTGCCACTCAATGTAGGATATGGCTCTTATTGATGTCTATATGTCGTGCAAGACTTGCTGAACCACAGAACAGCCCAGGCTGGAATGGAAGTTGAAAGATCATCAGGGACTGATGAGATTATTTGGCACCCTGTCCTATTTCATCTTGTATGCCTTCAGCGATGGGGTTTCTGGTGTGCCCCTGGGATTGTCTCAGTGGTGGATTGTTTCATACTATACAATCCCACTGTACTCAGCTGAAACCTATTCAATGCATTCGATGGAGATCATCCAGGTGCCTAAGCATAGGGATCTAGTTGAGATTCCCTAGTTCCCCTAGGAGTGTACTGGTTTGGGCTGGGATAGAGCCAATTTACACATGATGAGTCCTGCTTTCCTAAATGTGGCTGAACATCTGCCTACCTATGGAAAACAGAGAATGACTTGCTGACTTCATCTCAACTCATGAATTTTACTAGTTTTACCCTTCTGGTTCTCTTCCCCATTCCATATAGGGTGAGTAAATGAGTGGCTGTGTGAAGCTGAGCTGCCCCTGGGTTAGCCCACTAGAAGATTGGTTTTCTGTGTTTCAGCAACTCAATAGAGCCCAGTTGTTTCTGGTTTCAACTTTATTCCAATCTGAAAAATTGTACTTTTAAGAGTATAATGTCATCAAGTCCCACAGACCTATTTCTGGCATGTAGGATAATTCAGGAGGGGCTGCACAGAGGTTTTAAAAAGGGTAATGATACTCTGGGCTGTGGAATAGTGAGTATGGATATCTACGTCCAGAAAAAGAAACAGAAATCACACTATTCCTTCAGATTAAATGCTGCTGTAGTGCCAAAGCACTTCAAAGGGGGTTTGGACTAGGCAATCATAGAGCCTCCAGATATCTCTTTCAACCAACATCTCTGTGAACCTATGGACCTGGTTTACCCAGTTCTAAGCTACAGAGCATCCTTCTAATCCCTTTGTTAAGTCTGCTCTGTTCTTGAGTTGAACCAGAAACCAGTACTTATGTTTTACAGGACATTTCTGTGTGAGTCTGACTTGATTCATCCATTCCCCAGGCCAGTTCCATATATAAAGGGTACAGCAGGCACTCTGTGCCACATGACCACCAGTGTCCCAACTATTCTTTAACTGTGCCAAAATATATGGAGTCTTACATCAAGAAAATGCTTAACCTCATTGTTTTAATGATAAGTTGTGTGGACTTAAAACTGAGAATATGTTTAAGTGGTTTTCAGAACAGCAAAAATAAAGGAAAAAGTAAGCCTTTTCCTTTTTCTTCCATCAGACCAACACACTTGTTCTGTGCTCCGCAAAGCCTTCCCAGTTGTGACCAGTTGTGTACTAAAGAGGGGGACAAAGATGTGAGCTGAGAACAAAGTTGCAGCCGTTCCCACTGCCTCACTGCTAGCTCCTTCTCTGCTTCAGCTCCAAGTCAGTGAGAGAGACATCAGCTGCAAGCAGGTTAAATGGGGCACAGATGGAACCTTACCCTTCCTGTAATGAGAACGGCTGCATCAGCAGTAATGCAACAGAAATGCCCAGAATAGGAGAATTATATTTCACTTCTTCTTTTCATCTGATAAATTAATTGCAGAACAGAATGAAATTAGTGGACATAACTGAGCAGACATCCAGCTTTATACTTGTCTTTATAATATCTGATAACTGCATATTTTTTGGAGAACGCTGTGTTGGATTCTCAGTTGGCTCATTCATTGCACAAGTATCTATTAGATTTCCAACCACTGAGATTTATTTCTTTTCATTAGAAGTCCACATTATTATTTATATGGTCAAGAACATAAGTAACGTTGGAAAAAATAAGTATTAAATTCTAAGAAAAAATATTCAAGTCAATAATAACAGAAGAAAAGAAAAATATATTCTATGTATTAAAAATGAAAACAATTGTTATAAATATAATGGTCTTAAATGTTTGCTTTTATGTGACAGATGTTTTTAACAAAATGTCTGTGTTGGCAGTTTGAGCACACTTATGATTTTAATTTGTGTAATATTCCCTTTTAGTATTGATGTCTATTTACAACATCTGTGAAGGGTCTGTAACCTGAATGTGACAGGGAAAAAATAACAGGCTGCTATTGGAATCTTTCCACTGGGTCCACGTAACAGACTATTAACAAAAATCTTAAATAGCTTTTCTAATCATCAACAGCAATCTTACACAAATTATATCAGACCCAGAGGACCTGATTAACTTTAAAATGCCTTGCAGACTCAAAGCATAAATTTTGCTCCTCCTGCCCTCCTCTGTGGAGTCAAAATGGGGCTGTGTAACATACATCAGTTCAGCTGGGCACACACAGAATCAGGATACGAGTCAGGCTGACAGCAGGGGTTCCTCTTCTATGGAAAGGAACATGCATTTCTGAGTACTGAAATTAAATGTAGTTGTTTTTTTTTTTTTTTTTTTTTTTTTTTTTTCACTCTGTTGCTCTATAATTTCCATCCTGCAATGACTCTTTTTAGCAGCTGGAGCTGGACAAATCTCTGGCATGGGAGGCATTAACGTGTCAGTGCAGTGCTGTCATTATGGGGATGCCACTAACAGAGGCAGACGGAGGCTCTGCCAGACGAGAGCCACGTCTTACTTACCAGGACAGTTTCTGAGCACATACTTTGCTCGCAGGGAAGCGTAAATGAGAGAACACGAACCATCCTTTGCTATTAATTGATTGATATTTGCACCAAAATTTGAAACACTGACTATTATTGTTATGTTCCAGAGGCCTTATCCAGAGACTTGTGCTTGTTCACTCCTTCTAAATCAGAAGCCAAGATTCTCCCCACCTTTTGCCACTTAGGTCCTGTCTTCCCTTCCCCTCCCACACATACCCTTTGTTTGACCCCATCAATACTACAATAACTATTTAATTAACAACAGTTGTTAAATTTGTTTATGGACTGACCTTAAAATGCAGTTTAGCTGGCCAATTACAATGGAGCCAAATTGTTTTACATCTAAGTTAAGAAAAAAGCCTAGGTAGAGCAAAATTTTAATCTAAAATAATAATAAAAAAGTTGTTAGCTTTTGTTTATCATTTTATGTGCATTGAATGTGGAAGTCCTATGAGGCAAAACTAAGACATTACCCTAATGGTTGTTACAATTCTGTATAATTTAAGACTCCATATTGCACAAATAATATGGATGTTTTCCATACTACTTAGGTTTTCCTCCTTTTCAGAAACTCATAAATGGTTTCAGTCCTTCAGTCCTTCTTTGGTACCTCAGTGACAACACCTCTCTGAGTCCAGAATGCTTCCCTAAGCATTCTGCTGCATAAGCAAAACTGACATTAACATTTTTATTCCATCTCTCTGAAGCAAAATGCAGAGCTAAAGACAGATTATGGCACACTCTGATAGTGTCTGCACATCAGAGAAGAACCTCATGGTGTGTGAATGGAAGA